CCCGCGCGCAGGTACGAATTTTCCCTGGTCATGGTTAAATCAACGATTTGTTGTGTTCCGTGATAAATGGAAATAGAATGGCGGCGGAAGTTCAAGGACCGACCTTTCTCAACGGTCGACGAATGTTCGATACCCCTTAAACCCTGCACGCAGTCCTTTATCCGGCTTCGTTAATTGCCCGGGCATAAAACACTGTCATCATGAACTAATACTGCGACCAGAGATGGACAAATTCATTATTCAGATACATAAAGAGTTTCGAGTAACGAGTAAGAAATGATCAAGTACGTCGCCATTTTTCATTGATTTAACATGGAAATTCCAATTTCTGTAATAAACTAATGACTATTAGAATATTTAACCTGTTAACTGGGTGATTCTGTGATCGTACAGATAGATTATACATATACACATGATTTTTCAGTCATTCCCTATGTGGACACAGTTAAATATGTACATTAACGATCAGACACGATTTATGTTCCTGACTATTACAAATAATATAATACCACAAAGTACAGGAATTATTTGATAAATAAACTAGAAAATAGAAACGTATCGGAGTTCTACATAAATAATGAGTTAGGTCCTCTTCCCCAGTTAACAGATGTACAAAGTTTTATGTGAATACGTTATGTGCCAATAAAGTTATTGATATTTGCTGACATACGTGTGTTTCGACATTAATTTATATGAAAAATCGCCGGCCACAAGCGTGAGTCTCCGTATAAAGTGCCCAGTCAACAATATATTAACCCGTTGCCGTGGGGGTCATCGATGACCGGCGTTCGACTTTCTGGTGGCGCCGTGGGGGTCGTCTATGATCACTGTCGTTCATTGAACATCGAGTAATCTGTAATATTTACATACTTTTCGATACAATTAATATCGGAACATAAATCGGTAACGCGGCACAAAATGATGCAGGTACGAGATACGATAGTACAGTGGACTCTTAACTATATTGCTATAGTCGGGGCTGTAGGGGAGTAAAATGGCAATGAGTTCAGAGCCCCCTCCGTAATAGATACAGCATAGATTTACTTAAGTTAGTTCTCCTAATTAATATATAGTCGGCTCTTGATATTGTAGGCGGATCAAAAAGATGGCGTTTCGTCTCGGGAATCGTCTACCAAGACTCGTCAGTGGGGCTGACGGTAGACGACCCCTACCCTAGATGCCTGGGTTGCTCCTCGGCGGAGCTCCATAAGTAGCCAAAGACTCTAATTACCGCTTGCGAGAAAAGTCGCCACCTAGCGGCCGCTACCAAAAACACAAGCGACTGGGAGAAATGTCTCCACAGACCGCCTGTCCCATCAGATCTCTTACAATATATTGCCGCGGCCGAAGCTGTAGGAGAGTAAAATTCGCGAAGCGGCGGCAACATATCAAGAGCCCCCTCCATGTTAAGTTCTATCGTCATAGCCTCGGCCTCAGCGCCTGCGCAAAAGTTGGTGCGCCGGCGTACATAACGCAGTGAGATAGCGAATTTGTGTGGGCGACAGTACGTGTAAGGGCGAAGTGCCTCGGGTGGCAATATGTTTAGTGGCAATATAGTTAGAGTCCACTGGATAGTTCATTTCAGTAATTTGATGCTGTGCCCAAAAACATACGAAAATTACTTTCAGGTCTGTTCTACCACACTCACGATCAGTGGAATTTGAAACAAGATGTTTTCATACAATGTAATTGAAGATATTGGTTTGGCTCGAAAATAATTTGGATGGACGGTAAGTATAGGAGCCAGTGGACTTTCTCCTTACGTCATTTGATTACAGCTGAAAATTTTTGAGACGTTGGTTAACATAGTCAAAAATGAAACATTCGTTGTCTGGTGGTTTGGATACGCTGCGTTTGGCGGCATTATACTGTTAAACGTGTCAAAAATTATAGTGCATTTACGTCATTTAATTACGGCTGAAATCGCTTATGGTAATAGTAAATAGCATACAAAAAAATATAGAAATTGTTGTCTGGCTAAGCAATAAACGTAGTAGATTTATATTTTAATAATTTTTATTTTAATTGAAATTGAAATGTTTTAGCACTTTTTAGTACTTAAACTATTACCAAAATAAATTTTAGTCGTAATCAAATGACGTAAGGAAAAAGTTCACTGACTCCCGAACTATACTTATCGTTCATCGAAATTATTTCCGAGCCAAATCAATATCTTCAATTACATTGTATAAAAACATCTTGTTTCAAATTCCACTGATCGTGAGTGTGTTAGAATTGACCAGAAAGTAATTACATAATCAAAACAGTCCAAACCTGCGTTCACATACGTCCCTCAACCGTATCTATCTATGAACTGCCTTGCCGGAAGCGTCACGATTAACGATCGCAAAGGGTTAAGTTAGATAAAGTTCGAGAAAGTTTAGAAGATTAACTCGGACTAGAACGGATTTGAATTTTTTTAAATGTCAGAACCGAACCGTTGCGTACTCCATTAACATGATATACAATACACAGGTATACGTACAACACGCATGCGAATTGTTTAAAAAATTAGTAGAAATTCGACTGCTGATCGAAATGGTTTTCTTCTGTTCCGTTCCGATGCAGGTTGGAAAGTTACATTCAAATTAAGAAAAGCGAAAATTCTAATGCGTTCCGTTCCGTTCCGTTCCGTTCCGTTCCGTTCCGTTCCGTTCCGTCCTGTCCTGTCCTGTTCGGTTCCGTTCCATTCCGTTCCAAGTTAACACTTTGACGGCCGCACACTTCACTCAAAGGATTTCACCTATCGCCGGAATTTCTCGCGTAAATCTTACCGCCTACTTGTAAAACAGCCCACAGAAAATGCAACTTATCGTACATCAAGTTGTACGATATGTTACAGACAGTTGCACAAAACAGATCGTATTCATGACCATGTATGTAACAGATTTTTAGCATGCCGTAGTGCCGTTCAATACAATTTCCCGCGTCGTACTACAAATTGTACATACGATCGCACCACAAACGTTGCAACCGTCTCTGAAACGTCGAAGCAACTTATGTTGTACAATTAATTGTACGATAAATCTGGACCCCAGAGCCAGACTGTATTAAGTCACATTTTTCAAACTTTGGAGGAGAGCAACTCAAAGGTGCGAAAGTTTTGTAGGTTAGGAACCGTTTGGTAAGAATTCAACGAGAAACAATCGCTACTTTCGAACTATTGAATCGATTTCGGGCAAGGCTCGATATGTAGAAATGGTAAATATTCCATTAAGTCGCCCATATGATGGATGTTACACTGATTGGCTCGGAACAAGATCCAAACGTGATATCATTTTTACGTTATTATATGAAAAACTAAACAATTTAGAATGAAATTTTTTTTACTGTTGGAAAGAGCGAAAATTTTCATACAGGAAACATGTAAAATGTCATTTCTTAAAAAAGGTGGACTTAATACACTCTGGTTTTGAGGTCCAGGCATAATATCGTCTGTGGACCCTTTTAAAAAATGGAATGGAGGAATGCAAAAACAGTTGAATGCATTAAAGGGCCAATATCAAATCCGCGAGCTCGAATCATTTATACATATATCTATATTGCTGTTTCAAAACTGTTAGACAAGAGTGCGAAGTCACATACAATGAGTAACTTTAATATTCGGACACTATACAATTTTTAGTTTGTCGGACTTGAATTTTATTCGTGACAAGGTGAGAAAGTATCGAGTTGTAATTTACATTATTACAAAGAGTCTATTTAACAAAAATGAGAACATTAATTACATAGTTTATAACACTTACTATATTTTCTATTTTAAACAAAACAATGTCTGATTTTACGTTACATTAATATTCGGACACTTTAGAGAACAGATAATTCTTTATTTAATTTTCACAAACAATAGATTGATTTAATATTTTGTAAGATATCTTTCCTGTTGCAAAACCTCTTTCTTTAATCAATAGAAACAAATTCTCCAGTCCCAAATGTTGATATACATCCCCATACAAGCACATTTCCATCTTCGTGTTTTACATATTAAACTCTTCATTTTTCTTTCGTCACATCATTTCTAGCTCATTTGTCCCAAAGATGTTAAATTTACTATCATTGCTAAAGATAACGTCGACACTACACATTATATAAATAAATTTTATACTATTGTCAATTGGAGACAATGTCGCAATATTATATACAAGTAAATATGCCTTTTATTTTTCATGAATAAAATGACAGTGCGACCACATAAACATTGTATAGTGTCCGCAGGGCCGTTCTGGGTTGTTGGCCGCTCGGGTGCAGAAACAATATAGCCGCCCTTATTCATTTAATATTATTCAATTAAAAATTTGATATGCAATGTTTATATATATTCATTTTTGAAGAATCATTGTTTCATTTTATGAAAATAAAAACATTTTTTTAATGTTTTTCATAAAATGAAACAAAGATCCTTAAAAATTAAGGGTTTTATTTAAAATGAATATTTTATTTCACCTATAAGTACGAAACTACCACATAATGTTTGTAATAATGATGTTATGGTTGATAAATAGCGACCATTAATTACCTACATGAATTTAATCCACTAAATATGGCTAATGGTCCATAAAGATACATAGTTACATAAGATACATGAGATCCATAAAGATACATAGTTCCTTCTGGATATAAGTACTGTTACAAAGATTACATATACAATATTAATTTGATCAAATTCTGTTAATCCAAAATTTTCATAATCATCAGAAAATTTATGATTATTATTCCTATTAGTCCAAGTTTAACATATAATAAATTATCTGCGGCCGCCCCTGAATTTAGCCGCCTTGGTGCGGGGGTACCTTCTGCACTCCTGCCTGGAACGGCCCTGAGTGTCCGAATATTAAAGTTACTCACTGTATCTACGTGACGCCGACCGATAACTGCTCCAAGATCGAGATCACGCATACCTACGTGAGAGCGTAACCGTCAAAATGTTAAGTGTTGTGTATCGTCCGATAAAACGAATTATTCTCGGTTCGTTCTAATGTGTGAATGGTTTCATGTGGCAGACGGACCTCTGCGGCATCAAATGGAGGAAACTCGTGTGGGGCGAAGTGGCCGGCGGCTTCGGTGGCACTCCCCTCGAGGACCCGGTGCTCTCGAGCTTCTCGCGGTGCCTCGCGGGTGACATTCTCTGCGTGTGGCGGCGGGTCGCCGCGACGCCGGCCACCTCCGGCCCGGCAACCGCCTCGGCGACCGGAGCTGGCATCTTCGACCTGGGCATTGCACCCTCGCCCGCACCGCCACCCCTCTCCCTCACCGCCGCCAAGGAACTCTGGATTTTCTGGTACGGCGAGGAACCTGATCTCTCCGGTATCGTCTCGCCGGAACTGATTGCGTGCGGTGAGTAAAACCCTTCCATGAAACCGACCTCCTACTAGATCTTCCGATAGATGTCCTAGAATTCAGGGGTGTGCGGATACCCGAAGTCATGTTATTCCTGAGCCACGGGTCGGATCGGGAGAAGTCGGGCGAGTTCGGCCGGGATCCCGACAGTAGAAATCGCATCGGGATCCCGAGAGATGTTGGGTCCCGTAAAATCATCGGGTCACGAATGATATTTTCGAGAACTTATCCATCTGACGGCAAAAAATTAAACTATACGATACGATGCCATAGTAGTGAATCTTTAGGCTCATGATATGAATTATAAATGTTAAATAAATTAACGATTCCAAATGAAATATTGCAGTCGGATAGGGTTAATGATACAATCTTTAGTAGAAAATTTTTAAGACGTTATGTTTTTATTAAGTAAAATAAATAAAGTGGCAGTATCAGGGTCATTTAATCTATCATACAACATACAGGCATATGTAGTCAAAGATGAACAAGCATGTGTTAAAATATATTTATAATTCATAACACGAACCTGAAGATTCAATATGGCATCGTATCGTATAGTTTAATTTTTTGCCATTAGATGGATAAGTTCTCGAAAATATCATTTGGGACCCGATATCTGTCGGGATCCCGGCCGATCTCACCCGACTTCTCCCGACCCGACCCGAGCCCGAAATGTCGGGTACCCGCATACCCCTGCCTAGAATCCATTACCTCTCGGCGATGAATGTTCGAATGTATCCAACTAAACGTACGTTGTCAAAATTAACCGAGGTGTATTGAATGTAAAATATATGTATTGTCGCTAAATGAAATAGAATTAAATGTAGTCATGCTTATTTAACCCGTTAACCGACACTTTTTTGGGGGGTGGGAGGTTGAAAGCGCTCCGTGGCTGGGTAGTGAGAAATGACAGGAAACGAATTAAGTCGTTTTGTTTATACCGTAGAATGAATATGCCTTCACTCTTTCATTACGAGCAAAGACGAAAACATGTTTGAATTCAGCACGAAAGTATACTGTAAAGAGTGGCCTGCGCCATCTGTGACGTTAATGATTTTTTTCCAAAAAATGTTTAAAATAACTGTTATTTTTGGTCTCTGGTTGAAGCAGAATGGTCGTACATAATCGCGAAATCTATCGATTATCATTTCAGAATAATTGGAATTTGTAACTGCCGCCATCTTACCTGGATTGCGGAAACAGATGTATTACTCTGTTTACCATTTTTTACTCCTTCCTGCAGACGCCGACGAGAACGCATGACAACCATAGATATAAGTTCGCTTGAATAATCCATTAACATGTACATAGATTACATTGAAAACCATGTTCACCTAAACGTATTATCAACAATGTAATCCGTTATATCAAACCTTAGATCATATCCTAACTGGCTGTCGCATTGCCTATATCTCCCGTGGGCCCAATTTGTGTCGAATCTCGTGTGAGGGAGAAACATATCGTGCGAACGACAGAGATAATATCCCACTTGGTCACAACGCTCATGCGCCGATATCACTGACGGCGTTCGCCGTAACTTCCTCTTCTGCTATTTCCCATGCAACGACGATATCGGCGCATGCGCATTGTTGGCGAGAGGGAAACTCTACCTTTCTCTCTCGTACGAAATTGGACACAGTTTCGGGCTCACAATGCAACATCCAGTTATATACATATGATCTAACAAGGAGAGTATCCCAAGTGTCCATCTCCGATTGCTTTGGTTTTCCGATATGTTCTAGAGCACCAAAAAATAAGAGATACGTATTTTTTTATATCGGCCTGTTTTCATATTTAGAGGGTGATACCACCCCTCAAAGTTTCGATTTGGTAGAGCTATCTCGAAAACCAGAGGAGATACACGAAAACTTTTAATAGGCGAGTTTCATGGTTTTTTATGTACCATAATATGATGCTACTAAATTGTCAAAAATACAATTAGTTTATAGCAGCTATGCGCGCGGGAAATAAATAATCCAATAGATTTGGAATAAAATGCTCGTCACTTTTTGTCATTATGTAAATTGCAATATGTTGTCAAATATGGTTATACAAAATTTTTTTGTTATAAACCAATTGTACTTTTAACAATTTGTTAGCATCATGTTATTGTACATAAAAAATTCATGGAACTCGCCTATTGAAAGTTTTCGTGTATCTCCTCTAGTTTTCGAGAGTGTACTTTCAGGTCGAAACTTTGAGGGGTGGTTTCACCCCCCTAAATTTGAAAACGGGCCGATAAAAAAAATACGTATCTCTTATTTTTCGGTTCTCCAAAACATATCTGAAAAGCAAAACAATCGGTGGCGGACACCTAAGATACTCTCCTTGTAAGTATCAAACGTTCTCGTGTCCGTGTAAGAAATGGACCCCATTGAAATCACCGACACAGACTTCATCGACACCAGACGTAATCGACAACAACTTTGACCGACACCAGACTTGATCGACAACAGCTTTACCCGACTTTATTGACCGATAATGACATTAGTCCAATTACTATTCGTCTCATTTGTTTCGTATTGTTCTTTTTTCATAGCGTAGGGTGTGGTAGGCTTATGGTAGTAAGAAAAAACACAGTTAAGAATAATGGAACAGAAAATATATTGCCATGTTTTTGCATCTACATATGTTAAATACAAAATGTTATTTTCGAGAAATGAAAAAAGAATACGTACAACACACATCAATGTAACGAAAATGTTAAGTCAGAAAAGATAGACTAAAAGTGGAATGCATTCAAAGAATTGTGAATGATCGTCAAAAATATATCACAAATTTTTTACACGCATTATCTAACATTATTAGTTTATAATAAATCGAACATAGTTAACATTTTCGTTATATTGATTTATGTTGTATGTATCCTTTTTCATTTCTCGAAAATAACATTTCGTATTTAAATATTATAATAGATTTTCTCTTCCATTATCCTTAACTGTGTTCCTACTCACTACCATAAGCCTACCACACTCTACTCTATGAAAAAAGAAAAGTACGAAACAAATGAGACCAATAGTAATTAAACTAATGTCATTATCGGTCAATAAAGTCGGGTAAAGCTGTTGTCGGTCAAAGTTGTTGTCGATTACGTCTTGTGTCGGTGAATTGTTGTCGTTGAAAACAGTGTCGATGATTTCAATGGGACCCATAAGAAATAGCGCGCGGTGACCTGAACGCTGGGAAAGGAGAGCAGTTCACCCCGGATCAGGCTTAAAGTTCGGATAGAAATCCATACCAGGGAACACCGTGCGTGCGTGGTTTTGTTTCGCGGAAAGAAGGTGTGCGAAGCGAGCGAAGAGCGGTTAACGCTGGGCGGGAGACCGTGTTTCTCTCAGCCATGGGGTCGCTGAACCGTGTACTTGTCTGCAACTCGGTGGATTGCAACGCGGAGATTATTGTGCATCGCGAAGAACGAAACGACGAGCCCCGTTAACTTAACGGCTTCGAGCAACGCGCGACAACAGTAAAAAAGAAAAAAAAAAACTAAACAGAACGAAACTAGAGTATGTTTAATCGTAAAGTAAGGTAAAAACAGGCAACTGTTGAGCGACTTGATTCGACCAAGAAAGTGTCTAGCGGGAAACGGGTAACCAGCAGAAAATCTTCTAGCACGTTCTCCGCAGGAACAGTAGTTTCCCTTATTACCGACCGAATATAATCGAACATTGATTTTCATTGGGAGTCACAGCATAAAGCCAAATTCACACTAGCGGTCAAAGGTACGATCCAATCACGATCAATCTGAATTTAGACTATATCTCTCTCATTAGATTACGTGTAATTGATAAAGACCGCTGCCTGATTTGGACATGTTCTAATCGTACCGTGACAGCTAGTGTAAATCCGGCTTAAATCACCATGAATATCATCTTATTCTGCGGCTTTCAGGATATGTTTCGTACGAGTGAATGAAAATCAATCCGTATGATTTTGCTTGCAGAAAGTGAACAGGGTTCTTGGGAAAGCGGATTATCGTACGAGTGCCGGTCACTTCTTTTCAAGGCTCTGCATAACTTGATCGAACGGTGCTTACTGTCACGTGATTTTATTCGCTTAGGAAAGTGGTTCGTACAACCGTACGATGGCTTCGAAAAACATCGTTGCAGTAGGTAAGAACGCTTACCGTTTTCTATCGTTTCCCTATTGTTTACCTTTGCATCGTGTACGTAACTAATTTTTCGTTTGCAGTTGTCACCTGTCGTTCTCGTTTGCATTCTTTGTCCATGGAGAGAGCACCGTGTGCGCCAGCGTGGATGTCAGGCAACATCCTGCTGTACGACACCTCACGAGGGCCTGCTTGCAACGTACTCAAACCTCCCAATCTGGGGTTAAAGGTAGTCGTTGCGAACAATCATTAGATGTACCAATAAGTAATCCACTATGGTCGCAATTAATGTTACGGTATCGTTTAATTTCTAAATACCTCTTCAGTCTTTTGTTGAGTTGTAATAAATTAGCGTGGGATTGTTGGAAAAAGATACCAAGTATTCTAATGGCAGTATGTATAAATGTTTGACTTTTTCCCAAAGAAACGCAGAATTTTTAATAGATTTTAGCGGATTAACATTGACAGTACAGTAATCCACTATTACTATAGTACATGTTAATCCACTGTTTGTATAGTAGTCGACAATATTAATAGTGAGAGTACTTTTGGTAGACATAATAATCTAACACCTTCACTGTTTAAGTCTGTAAACGTGAATTCTGTAAGGTATAATGGAACTGTTAACACAACACAAAAGTATCTGATCACCCGTAATTAAACTGTGGATTTTACGCAATGGGTAATGAATACATATAGTCGGGTAAGGGGGTCAAAATTGCCTTTAGACCGATTTGGACTTCTGGTATACCATTCGACATAGCTTACTAAAAAAAAATTTTTAATTCTCTACCTTGACCAGGAGGGTAGTAATACGGAAAATTCATATTATGCGGTTTTTCTCTATTTCTCCTAATTAATCGCATTAAAGAATTATGTAAAATATCTTGTAGATAGATTTGTCGGGGAACGTATTACAGAATTTCTAGCGATTTTTTGGTTTAGAAACGCAGTCGTTAAAAATAAAAAACCCAAAAAAATGTTGAAATAAATTTTTTTTATTGAAATCATAAAGCGACTATATTTATATAATTACAATAACAATATATCATCACATGTATCTGCCCTCAATTTTTTCAAAATTTTCTTGGTAGGATTCGCCGTAGTTTTAAAAATCAAAAATCGATATTTTCATCGTTCTTTCTGTGAAAAATAACTTATATTTGGAATTTTTGTATTTTCTTTATTATATAACTACATATATTATACGATTTTAACTATTTCCGTATCCAATAAAACAGTGCAGTTGACTCTTGATATATTGCAGCTCGCTATATTGCCGCGCAAGGTACTTGTTCAGTACACGTACTTTCAGACATGCAAATTCGCTCTTCCACTACGTTACGAATACCGTCCCCACCGGCACGATCAAGCTCCTACACAGGCGCTGAGGCCGGAGCTACGACGGCAGAACTTAGCATGGAGGGTTCTTGATATGTTGCCACCGCTTCGCGAATATACCTCTCCTACAGCCTCGGCCGCGGCTATATATCAAGAGTCCACTATACATAAATTGGGGAAGTTGAACTAACTTAAGTAAAGCTATGCTGTATCTGTTACATAGTGTGTAACAAAAATGATGTAGGTCCCTAAAATGGGTCACTCCTGGGGTGATTTGAAATAAGTTTTTCTTTAGCAAAAATGGTGTCCAAGACTTTATTAACGAGATATTTACAAAAAACTCCGACCTTTTTGTTAATATCTGGTTAATAAAGCCTCGGATAACATTTTTGCTGAGGAAAAACTTGTTTCAAATCACCTCACAAGTCAGACCCATTTTAGGAACTAACAACAGTTTTGTTACACCCTGTATACTAAAATATTTTCCGCATTTCCAACAGCGTCGTTAGTGGAGCGGTTGACCGTCACGACTGCGGAACCACTGCGAAATTCTTTTTTGGACGAGATTCGAGTCCCGTAAAAAGTTTTTTTAAATTACACTTATTATATATGTTTTTAATTTGTAACTAATTGATAATTAATAGTATTTATATAAGGATATTTTAACCTCCAATATACATAAAAAAACTCTTACAGCTTATCTTAATGGTATCCTTAATAATATGACAATCCTACCCTATATTCTTAATAATCATACCATTTATTGTCATTTAATTCAAAATTAATAAAATATATGATACATGCAATTAAGAAAAACTTAGTATGTACTTTGTACGGGGCTCGAACCACATCCAAAAGAAACTGTGCAATCGTGACGCTTAGGCGCTCCACTATCGACGCATTATTTTTATTTAATAATTAATTTAATACATTAATTTGTTCCTAGCAAGTTAATTAAATCTGTATACCTAATCCAGTTCTGGAAGTACGACAAATATTTTACTATTTACCAAGTACAGCATAGTTTTACTTCAGTTAATTCAACTTCTATATTTTATATACTGTTTTACTGGATATGGAAATATTTAAAATCGTGTAATACATGTACTTATTTAATAAAGGAAATATAAAAATTCAAAGTATAAGTTACTTTTTCACGGAAAAAACGATGAAAAAATCGGTTTTTGATTTTTAAAACTACAACGGACCCTACCAAAAAATTGGGGACAATTATACTTGTGATAATATATTGTTACTGTAATTATATAAATGTAGTTATTTTAAGATTTCAATGAGAAACCATTTTTTTCAGCATTTTTGTGCGTTCTTTATTTTTTATGACTAGCATTCTCAACCAAAAAATGCTTAAACACGTGCCCCGATAAATATCATCTATTAAATTTTTCACGGAATTTTTACATGTGATTAAATAGAAGAAATAGAGGAAAAACCTTGTAACCCGAATTTTCCCTATCACTACCCTCCTAATCGAGTTAGAGGGTTGAAAATTGGTATACATTGTTTTTTCTTGGTAAGTTATTGAATGGTATATCACAAGTCCAAATCAGTCTCAGGGCATTTTAGACCCCCGTATCTGCTTATACCCTTCATATTTTGTATTGAGGATATTGTTTAATTGAAAATAGAATTAAAAATCTGTTAACACGTTCGCTGCGGACTCCGCGGATCCCGCATCAACTGTGATGTTGTTTGGGAATTTTTGTTCATGTTCGCTGCCAAAACAACAGCATCCTGCGCAAATTCACGATTCTCTGTTGGCATTGAATGTGTTAAGCAGGTGTCCGCTTTTTGGATGGTCAGAAGTAGATGACATTTATTTTTTAAAACTAAGAAACATTTTGATCTATAATTTGTTTGGAGTTTGTTAAAAAAAATGCAATTATAAGAAGCTCATCAGTTGAAACATAAGCCTTGAGTTTCTCCACGGTTGTCGTGACATTTTACAAAATAATTGAATTGAACTTCTATATACGTATTTTATAATGAAATCTTATATTACAAAATATCTCTAAATAACTTTTTTACAATAGTAAATTAAAACTGAAAAGTTCGTTGAAAAATCGATATTTGTGATTTCGTGTGCCGCTATTGTGTTTTACTTATTTTGTCATAAAAGATTATGGCACATTATTATAAATAATTAGGAACATTACAAGTATATACAAATTTGAGGTTCATGTTGCAGCTTGTAACTTAACCCTTTGACGGTCACTGGTCACGTATGTAAATATATGTGATTTCGCTATCCAGCGATTATTGGCCGGTGGTTGTCGTTAGGGGTTTGCGTGTGACCGAAACTACTGGCTCGGGACGGGACAGAAAGATTCGGATGAGATCAGGCGAAATCTCGATACTCCCGAGACTTGACTCAAGTTCTGAGCACAGGCGGGCGGCCGGACTTCGGATTGGCTCGCCAAAAGTCGGACGTCATTGGCTCGGGAGCCGGATATCCAACTACGGAGACGGAAAGGGTTAGTACCTTTATTCTCATCTTTTGTTAAATCATGATTTGTATATCATTATTTATTATTCATTTACATATACATACATATATTTTCAATATCCAATAGTCTGTAAATACTAAAATAGGTCCATATACGTATTTAGATAAATACCGTATTAAAAACTTGGGAGATAGAGTCTTTTGAGTTCGACAGTGTTTTAAAATATTAATACAAGATACTTCATACTTATTGTTAGTCTTTATGTAAAGGGAATATAAAGGGAATTATGTTTTTCGGGATAGGATCAGGTTTAAAATAAAAAAAGGTACAAACACATAAATGCACACAGAAATGAATATTTAAGGCGAAAGTTTTTTCTTTTAAGTTTACATGGAAGAAAGGTAATTGTTCTATATTTTCTGGTAGCAACTTTGTTCGCCTACTACTAAAATAAGCAGGGCTTGCAACTGTTTCAAATTGTTATATATCGGTTCTTAATAAAACAGTTATGAAGAAACTTTATTCTGAATAACTGTTATAAGGAACCCAATTTCTGTGTATATCTATTTCGGTTACGGTTCTTATATCGGTTCTAGAACTGTTATTTTTTCGGATCTCATTCTATATCCGTAGAAATGCAATTCTACTAGATATACTACTCTGCAAACAGCAGCAAGACAAACACTTATGATTCCCGCTGCTCAAACGACGAGCAAAGTCTTATTTTCCAGTAGGTGAAAACATTACCAATAGTAGACGAACAAAGTTGCTACCAGAAAATATATAAGAATAAACCTTTGCCTTCTCGTAGTGTCAAACATCCAGGAAATATTCATTTCTGTGTGCTTTTATTTGTTTGTACCTTTTCTATTTTAAACCTGAGCCTGTCCTGAAAAAGATAGTTCCCTTTATATTTCATTCACACAAAGACTAACAATAAGTATAAAGTATCTTGTATTAATATTTTAAAACATTGTCGAATTCAAAAGACTCTATCTCCCAAGTTTTTAATACAGTATTTATCTAAGTACGTATATGGACTCATTTTAGTATTTACAGACTATTGGATATTGAAAATATATGTATGTATATGTAAATGAATAATAAATAATGATATACAAATTATGATTTAACAAAAGATAAGAATAAAATGGATATCGGGCTACCGAACCGATGACGTCCGACTTTTACCGAGCCAATCTGAAGTCCGGCTGCCCGCTCGTACTCAGAGTCCGAGTCGAGTCTCGGGAGTATAGAATCTCGCCCGATCTCGTTCGAATCTTTCCGTCCCGGATCGAAGCTCGAGTTCCCGCGACTCGGTACGATCCGCACATCCCTAGTTGGCGCGAATTTTTGAGTAAAATGAACGTCCGTCAAAGTGTTAATATAAACATTCACAAATATTCGTTAAACACGGGGTGTCCCAAAATAGTTGTAAGTCCTTGAAAGGAGTGATTTGAAACAACTTCTTCCTTAGCGAAAACGTTCTTCGAGGCTTTGTTAACGAGATATTAACGAAGAACCCCGACCAATCAGAGCGCGAGTCTACCGGCTGAGCTCCCGTGGCAGTCAACGCGATTGGTCGGGGTTTTTCGTTAATATCTCGTTAACAAAGCCTTGGAGAACTTTTTCGCTAAAGAAAAAGTTGTTTCAAAGCAACTCAGGTATCGCGTCTTTCAAGGACTTAAAACTATTTTGGGACACCCTGTATATACAAATGTACGGATGAGCTGTATGAAGTTTCTAATCAAAATGTTTTTTCTTTTTAGAGTTGCTTGAAAATATCACAGTCATCTGTTTTAACAGCCTCAAAAAAGAACATCCCTTTAAGCCTTCATGTTATTGCACTTATCATAGTCATGCACGCCGTAAACTCATACAGTTGGCAGTGTATTACTGTTACAATTACGGATCACGGGTGAAGCGATCATGATAAATAACATGGTCAAGTATCTACCTCAAGTTTTATAAACTTTCGAAAATCCTTGTGTTTTGTACTAGAACTTTAGATTCTTAATCATTTTGTTCAGAAATTATAACACTTGGTGATGACCAGAAGCTACTTAGTGTCTTAGCTCGTCATTTAGAATACATATTTATAAATACTGTAAATGAGTGTATATAAATACGTAATAGGGATCTTTACATACTTGTCCTGCTTGCATTTCAAATTTCAATGCAAAGATTGGTCAGATCTGTATGTGTATCTTCAGTGAACATTGTATTTACAAAATTGTATGCAACTGTAGCACAAATTTATAAAGCAGCTGTTCGCATGCAGTGATTCTAGCTCCGTATGGGCTAGCAGGCACGTTAACCGGTCCAGTTGGAAGAACAGACAGTCAGCTTCTTGAAGAGTGGAAACACTTTTATCCAATCAATGGCAGCAACGTCGAGGCAGGACTTCCACCATTGGTGGAAGTACTTGTTGGTGGTGTACGCATGCGATATCCTTCCTGTTATGTCCTGGTCACCGACATGGACGACACACCACCCGAAACACCACTTTCTCCGCCGAACAGCCCTGCTAGCTGTGAACATCCACTTTTAGGTCAGCAGGAGCTACGTACAGCTACAGAACTACCGGAACGTGTGTGGGCAGAATGTACTTTGAGTTCCCCGATCTCTGCTTCCAAAACAGAATCTTCCACTGAACAAGGAACCTGGAGCTTCATCGATCCGACGCAAAAGTCTTCCTGTACCTGTTCAAAGTGAGTGACGGTTCGCAACGCTACTTTCAAACGGATTGTAACTCTTATTGCATTGTAATCCCATTGAAATGCTACCGAACAAGTTACATGTTCCAAAGCAATTCTTTCAAAACAGAAAGAATTTTTTGATGCTTTTAAAAACGAAACGAGAAAACAATGCAGTAATAGCACTGAGAATTGTACTGTCAAATTGATCTAGTATGTTATCATAGTACGACGCAGAGAATGTACTGGTTTATTATTATGTTTCAAAGTATCGTTTCCTTTTGCACATGTTATTCAGTGTAGCAGTAAGTTATTTCTTTCGACTGCATTCTTTCTTATGATTCTGGATAACGTTCGAAATAGTATTGTTCACAATTATTATTGATTCTGTCTGCATGCTATAGCACAGTTATATGAGACGTAGGGTTCAATTGTTCCAATAAATAGATCAGTAATTTAACTTCGATGGCTATTGCAACGCGTGCATGTAAACTTAGTTTTTGAGGATGGATCAGATGCGATTGTTTCTTTGAAGTTAGATATTTATTTCGTGCAACTGAAGTATCCTGTACCAGACAGTTCCATCATGAACGGAATATCATGTTTGTTTTGGACAGTACATGGTAAGTCCGTGGTGGAATCGAGTTACACTAGACTGCAGGTCTGTCCAAATGGTGCCCTGGTGGCATCGGGCGCTCGGACTTGCCACGACTTACTTACACGCTTCACATTTTCTTTCTCCCTCTTTGAAAATACGTCTGAATATCACAGAATGTATTTATAGGTGTTAAATAATTATAGTAGTACACCTGGATAACATTAATAACTATGTACCTACAATACATTATTTACAATGGCTTCAAACGTAGCGTTTTGTATATTTATTATGACCGCAATGCGATAGTATTTATAATTACTGTATAAGATGGGAAATTAATAAAATTATGTTTATTCATATAAGTATATACAATTAATAATTTTATAACACATGGCATTCTTTATGTTGAAATTGGTGATCACACTCGACCCTCGACGAGGAATTTACAAAAAAGAAACTTATTTATAATTTTCCGTGTTATAAAACTGATCTTTCAATGTAAAAAAATTATACTCAAATAAGCCAAATCTACTAGATTAAAACAAAGCACAAACGAATTTAATACGATAAATAATTTCCAAGATAAAAATTTACAAGTATTCCCGTTGCACGAAAATAGGCAATAATTGCAAACTTTGCGGATTGTTTTTTTTTTAAACAAATGCGATACCAGAAAAATTATGACTCTATTCTCCCTCTCTGAAACTTTCCTATTCTATCCCAATACTATCGCATTGCGACCATAATAAACATACGAAACGCTACATTTGAAAACATTGTAAATAATGTACTGTACAGAATTATTAATGTTATCTAGGCGTACTAGTATAATTATGATTTCTAGTTAATCTAATAATAATTAGTATTGTTAGTAGAGGCACCGTTGCCAGACCGAGAGTAAAAGGGGTGTTTGGGAGTTCTCCTGGCAACGCTGAGTAGGGGACACGCGGATTTTATTTATGACCTCTGTCGACTCGACACTCAGCAGTCGAAGTATCGTCGTGAATGCTTGTCGATACAAACAGCCAGGGCCGTTCCTGGGTTGTTGGCCGCCAGAGTGCAAAAACAATATTGACGCCTTTATTAATTTAATATTATTTAATTAAAATTTTAATATGCAGTGTACCTTTCGTATATATATATATAT